TTCTACGCTTGGAAACACAGACATCGAATGCAAACGTAAGGACAATCTAGAGCTCTTGCCTGTGCTATCCATCTCCAGCGCTTGGACGTACTTTAGTGGCTTTTACAAGCTCCGTCGGGGTCGCCACTGTCGCCCACGCCATGGGCGATGTCAGTGCGGGCTTTCCTACAGTACCCTGTTCCATATTACTACATGTAGTCCGGTTTCTCGTATAACCTTTCGTGCCGATAATAGCACCACCATATAAGGTTAAATGCTGACAACAAACGCCCACATATCCATATCCATGCCTAGTCCAGAACTATCGACTACGTTCTTATATCCAGTCGTTGGTCTGTGCGGCTTATAGCTCGGATTTAGCCGTGGTTGGCCCGGCGGTGCGTGCCTTCGTAGGCCGCTAAAAAGTCTTCGAGGTCGACAGCGCCGAGTTGCTTGCGGTCTTTGGCGAGAATCCACTCTTGAATCATGTCGTCGTCCACGTCGGTCCGGCCTTGTTGGCAAAAGAATGTGCGCAGGTCCCGCGCCGAGACCTTGCCGTCGCTGTCATAGTCGTACGCCTCAAAAAGCCGGCGCAGCTGTCGACGCTGCTCGACGTCCCCCGTCGCCCCGCCCAAGCGATAGCTACCACTCTCATATCCCGGTGGCGGTGGTCGGTACAGCTCGGCCGTCACCGTCGATGGGCTCTTGACGGCCGACGCGGGAGGCGTGGAGGTATGCACGGACGTCGGGGTTGCGTAATGCTTGACAAAGTCGGCGAACGAGACGTGACCGTGACCGCTCGTGTCGTGCTCAAGGAGCCACTGGCGAATCTCCACGTCGCGCAGCTGCCGGGACGCAAGCGCCTTTCGCAAGTCGGAAAACGAAAGGACACCATCGCCATCGGCGTCATACTTGTCAAACACAGCTCGGAGCGTCATTTCACGGTGTGTTGGTTGCGGCATCAACGTGCTGGGTTTGGTCATTGGTGGCGGCGGGCGTTGAACATGTCGTGGCCGGCGGCGCGCCTTGGTGTCACCATCATCACTGCTACCGCTGTCGCTGCTACTGCTACGGGTACCGCGACGAGCGGACTTGGACAGAGGCTTCTTGTTTGTGGCCTTGGCTCTGCTCTTGGGCACCGCTTTGGTATCGTCGCTGTCGTCGCTGGACGAATGATGCGAATACAAATCGTCTTTGGAGGGCGTCGCGGGGCTTGCAACGGCCGTGCGCACCGGTGCGCGAGTCTGTACCGTGTCAACGTCGTCGACGATGGCATTGGACACCACCGACGTCGACGGCAACGGCACGACCGGGTGTGTCGGTAGCGTCACCGCATCTTGCAATGCCTCGTAGACGTGGCCGACGACAAGTGCAAAGTCGGAAAGGCCAATCGCACTCCGCCAAAGCTCGGCGCGCGATGTCTCTACGATCACGTCCTGCACCTCGTCTTGGGTGGTAGCGAGGGCTGGTACGAGCATGCATAGCGCCGAGTACACGGACGATAATGGCATCGTCGCGTCGGCTGCTGTTGCATGTAGCGAAAATACGGCTTTGCACGCTTCAAAAAGCGGTTTGGAGAGGCTTTCCCAGCAGCTCGACGTAGGACCTCGTGCGTGCTGCATGATGTACACATGGTTGGGGCGACGGGTCATCTGCGACGAGAGTCCCGAGAGGTCGGCGTACAGGTGGACAAACGAGCCAAATGACGGGATTGCTTCGGCCGGCGCACCGCCAATGTGCAAGCGCAAAAGTGCCTGCTGATACTGCTTCGGAGTGCACTTGACCCGACACGCCCACAGTGCCGGAAGCACATCGTTCTCGCGCCGAATCGCATCGAATGATGCTTTTAGAATCGCAATGTGGTTGCCCATGGCTGCGACGAGCTGTGCCATCGACACATTTGGCCGCCGGGGCGGGGATGCTGGCGCCGGCAACTCGAGGTCCACCGCGATCACGACCCCGTGCGTGCACCAAGGCGACGCTGCGAGCGCTCGAGTAGCAGCGAGAGCGCGGGTGTTGGCCGGATTGATGCAGAAGGTCCAGCGCGCTTTGGACAAAGCCGCGTCGGCGAGCTCGACAAGTCGACACTCGGGCAGTTGCAATCCCACTGCCTTGCAGAACGACTGGACGACGTCGTGGACCGAGAGCGTTTGTGATGTTGGCACCTCGGACACGGGCGACAAGATGACACGCGGCCACGTTGTTGTTGCTGGATCGTCCGAGTGCATCGTTGGTTTTCGAGGCGGAGGCGACGGACTTTTCTTCTGTGGGGACCCTGGACGGGGAGGGATCTCGATTGTCAGTGGAGCTGACGTCGACAGAGGACGCGTCGGTGAGGCCGTCACCGTTGCCGTTGCCGCTGGCGACGATGGCACCGAGGCTGCAGTCGTTGTGGGGATCCCGCGAGCCCACTGTCGCCAAAATGTCGTCACGTCGTGGTCAAGCGACTTGTCCAGCGGGAGTCGCCCCGTTTGATGAAATGTTAGGACCCAGTGCGGAAGGTCGCCGGTGGTTGCCAGTTGCGCGGCAAGCGGCTTGTGCCATTTGGAGAGACAGGCGATGAGTTGCCACAGCCGCATTTCCTGACGACGCGAGAGCCATGCGGTTGCATACTTGGTGTATAGCTTGGCCATTTCGACGGGAATCGAATTGTCGACGGCATCGGTCACGGTTGCCAGCACCAGTTGCAACCCGAGGTCCGCGTCGGCGCCGAGGCTCCAGTCGAGCACGATGCGACGACAGGCGCCACTCGCTACAATCGCTATCGGGACATTCGGGTCTGTCGCCTGCATCCACGCTCGCCACACCAAACGCACCAACGCACTAAGCGTCGGATCAAGTAGCGTCGTCACCGACGCTGGTGCCAGAGGTGAGAGCCATCGGTGACTTGCCACCATCGTCGATACGATCGATTTATGCAACGAGACGACGTGCGACGGCAATGACGACGATGACGCCGTGTGCGTGGCCATGGCGTCCCAGATACCGTCGACCGCCGACGTCAACGCCCGTTCTAGCATCGGTGGTACTGGCGCTGATGTCGCAATCTCTTCGAGGACGGCGACGCTGGCCAATACGACGTCGATCTGATCGGACGTCAAGCGCGACGGCGTCCGTAGAGCGACTTGAGCCCACGCCCGGTGCATCCAGGGCACCAAACGCTCGATCAAATGCGCAAATTCGGCGAGCGAATCACTGCCGAGCGTCTTGTGGTAGCCATATGTGGCTTTCAACTCGAGAAGCAGCGCCCGTTGCTCTTGAAAGGTGCCGTTGTACGCGTCAATGTCCGTACCCCGGTGCACGAGGTCGTCGAGCGTCGTCGGGTTTTGATCTGGCAGTAAATGGAGGTGGTGCTGGCTCTCGAGGCGGTCCAAAATGCGGCGAAATGCGCAGTCCGCGTCGGGCTTGGCCATAGGTTGGCACCGCAATACATGTGGGTACGCGGCATCGCGGTACGGGCGCAGAAGCAGCGGCGGCATCTACGCCATACATCATATCTTGTGCGATGATTCGACTCGTGTACCTTGTGGCGTCGGAGGAAACGCACAATGTGCGCCGACGGCCAACAGCGCGTGAGCCGCGCACCACCGGTGACCATATGCGATAATATCGCAACAACCAACATGAGAACGTGTTGAAACACCGTCGTCTGTGCAAGCGGGTGCAGTTGGATCTGACGCAAGCACCGAGTGGCAACCATCACGAGCGCCTGCAGCACGACCGGCGTCGAGGCAATGGCGTCGGCGAGATCTCGTTGCGCTAGCGAGGTCGGCGTGTGGAGAATGACTTCGACCAGCGTCAATGTCGCCTCAAGCATCTAGTATACAGTATTTTGGCATCCATGGATCGTAAAAGAGGAACTACGAGAATCTCGTGGTCGCGAAGGAGTTGCGAGAGGAGAAGCGGTAGCGGGACACCGGTCACCCATGCTTGCGCCGTTGTCTCTGGACTCTGGTAGTAGAGATGGCCTACATGAAGGACACGATATTAGTGTAATTCCGAGTCGACAGAACACGTTGTACTTAGCGCGTGCACAATTTGGATGCGGGCCTTGAGCGATGCCTTTACGGACGCGGGTCCGATCGTCACGAGCTCAAACCAGAGACTCCAGGTTGTATACACCATTTTCCACTGCACCCAGGATGCTAGATCACATACGTCACTTGACATGGATCTTGGGCTTGCAACTATACCATTGGCAGGGACAACGTCCGCGCGATAGTACGGGATCGTCTCTGACGACGCGTCGATATTTTGGCGGTCGACAGCAGCGCAGTAGTGCTCCAGCAACCCGTAGACCCGTGCGAGTTTTGGCGACTTGGTGTCGCCCAAGACCGCGCCGAGGAGCGGCTCCGAAACGCGCCATAGCGACGGTTCCCACCGGGTTGTGTCGCCCGTCGCGACGGCCAAAAGCGCTTGCACGAGGTGGACCACCAGCGTGAGGCTGGATGGGTGCTCGATCAACGGCGGGTTAGCTAGCCATGACTCCAAGACGGTCAGTGTGCTCTGCACGGTGGCGATAGCCCGCTGCGTGTCGTGGTCGGTGGTTCGAAGCCGATGGTAGAGGCCAATGGTTGCATCGACGAGGTTCTGCAACCCGTGCTTCTCGACCATCCATTCAAATGCGCACTGGACTTGCCAACCGGACGTCGGCTGCCAATTCCGTAGCACCGTAGCAAGCGCGGTTGTTGCGCCGTCCATCGTCCGTAGCAGAGAGCTCACAGAACCGACACCGACGTCGGCAGCTGTCCGAGAGAGTGGCCGTAGAATGTCGAGCTCAAAGCGAAGAGACCACTGCACGTGGTCGGTCGCCAACGGCACCGATGCGTCGGCGTCGGGCAATACTCTGGCGACGACCGCTGCCAGCGTCGACAACGATGCCGTCGCGTCATTGCTGCAGCTCTTGGCTAGAGCCTGGATCGACTGAATGAAATCGGCGCAGGCGACCGATGGTGACGTCGGTGTTTGCAGTTGCTGCAAAAATACACTAAGGACGGCTCCGTAGTGCACCGGGGTATCACTACTACCAAGGTGCAGTTGCCAGAATTTGAGCTGGTGGCCGTTTGGTGACACGAGCAGCGCCTGCACGTCCCAGCGCACAAGTGCAACTTCGTGGTGAAAGGCTACAAGGTGGCTTGCGTCTACGGCCAGTATGAGTCTGCGACGAGCAAATGACGTCGGTACCGAGAAGCTGCTGGACCCAGGGACGAAGAAAGCTGTGCAACTTGGTCGATGTACCGAGCGGGTACACTCGAAGGACGTCAGCTAGCGGTACCCACGACTCCATCGGTGCACACACCCAGTGAGCGACCGGTGTCGGTGCCCTGCCGACGGCGCCTTCGTCATGCTCGTCGTCATTCGCAGCATCCATGACGGCATGCGGCAATAGTGGTAGAAACGCTGTCGCGTGCTCGGGTCGTTGCTACAAAAACGTTGCCTAAGATCTGAGAGCGATACATCCGATACTTACCACAAGCTGGAGCAGGAGTCGTCGCTCTGCCTTCACCAATTCCTATCCACTTGATCATTAGAAGAAGAGCATTCACGGATGAGCGAACGGTGCAACGCATGGCGAGGATCGTGACGGATCGCTTGAGCTTTGTCTGCGGTTCGTACCCAGAGCCAGCGTACGCCCAGCGGTCTCGGCTCTGCAAGCGCGGCAGCGGACACAGAATATGGCAGTCGACCAGGGCGTGCAGCTTGGCGGGTCGTGTCGCCGGTGCAGCGAGACAGGTCGTCGGTGCATCGTCCAGTAGCGCAATGCTTTCGTGCACACGTCGTCGAAGCGCTTGGCCGTCGTTCTGTAGTTGCCGGTGCACTGTTCTGTGACGCAGCCACGTTTGGTACGTCTACGCGAGGGGTCAGCACCTTATCGAGATGAATCCGAGGCGTCACTGTACATGCAGAATCGACGAACTGTGCTTTTGATCGTCCGGCATAAGGCGGGTGTACGGCAAAGTGTGTACATACTGTCGTTGCTGCAACAGCCACTGGGCAACGATCGTCGGTGTGCACTCGGTCACCGCCGGGTGCAGCTGGTTCTTGACAAAAGCGGCAAAGCTTTCAAAGCTGGGTAGCGCGCTGCGGGGGTAGACAACGTGCCACTGCGAAAAGAGGCGGTAGACCTCCGGTAGCATCCAATGACGCGCATGGATCTGGCGGAGCAGCATGGCGACGTCATCCAGCGACGTCATCGGCTCTGTCCACGTCTCGAGAGCTTCCAAAAGATGCGACTGCCAAAACATAAAGCACATTGGCGGGCGCATCGATGCCAGTGCGCGGTGCAACTGCGTCGTGGGCACTCGACTACTGCTGTCTGGTAACATGAACGGCCACCAGGCCGACGCCCAGCGCAAGATGGACAAAAATGGTCCCTCGTCAAACCGCGACGGGTGCCACAGCGCCTGCGACAGACTGTCTTGGATGGTCCGGACGCAGACGTCGATCGGCGACAATTGCAGGTACAAAGTGGGCAGCCAAATGTGTCCAACCTCGTGCGCTGCGACCGACACCAAGTCAGTCTCTGGGATGGGTACCGCCGACGAAATACGTCGAACCCGGTGAAGTTGCAGGGCAACGTACGCTTCCGCCATCGCCGGCACGGCCACCGGCGTGGCCACAACAGTTGCCCGATACGGATACACCCACTGGAGCTTGTCGTTGGCCAAGCGAAGCGCGACGGCGTGTAGCGGTGCTGGCACAGATACGTCCGCTTCGACGGGTCGGCACTTGGTCGTTGGGCCATCCCGCACCGAGTAGAACATGGCGAGCCGCACTTGCAAGTTGTGAGCCTCCAAGAACCGGTCGATCGTCTGTTGCGTCTCGAGGAGCACGCGCTTGAGGCCGTACCCATCGAGAACGTCTGTCAGTGTAAGTGCTGACGTCAGCAGCGTCACGTAGCCAATGCGACGAATATGACGCTGACCAAACCACACCTCGGGAGGTAGGGCGAGACGTCGGTGGAGCGTGATGTAGCTCGACGTCAGAATCGTGTCGTTGACGACGACTGGAACGACGTGTGTCTCAAAGATGTAGAGCACGGCCTTGATAACACCTGGAAACGTCGCGGCGTCGGCCAGCGTATCGGGATCACACACCACAGAGCACGATATCACCGACGTCGGTGATGCGCCAAGGGCTACTGGAAGCAGCGCCGACACCGGCGACGGCAGCGACCAGAGATGCATCGGCAAACTCGATGGATGGCGCTGGTCCCAAAGAACCGCGCACGCCGGCGTCTCGTAGGCGGCGACCACGTAATGCGGCCCGACCACGGCCAGCGCCGACATGCGACCGACGCCCGACACAGTCCAACATCTGCTAACTACCAGTTTGTCGACGTCCCAGAGTTGAACGCGCCCGCCTTGGCCCGAGATGCAACTCGACACGGTCGACTCCGAGACCACGGCGTGGTGCATCGGTTGGCTTTTGGAGAAGTGAACGTGGTCGACGACACCGACGACTGCGTTCGAGGCCATTGACACGACAAAGGTCTTGTGCGGCAGCGTACTCACAACAACGAGGAGCGTCGCGCCGTCGCTGGTCAACAACAGTGTCGTTGCAACACCGCTCGACGACGTCAACATCGGCAGCGTTACTGTCTGCGACCGCGCGAGCGGCTGCGTGGTAAAGAACTGAGCGCCGCCAAGTCCGAGCGACGTGTTGACACCGAGTAGCCGGTCCCCGGCGCCGAGTAGCAGCAACGGCGTCGATGCCAACCGTCCGTGACGGTGCTTGGCCAATGTGGCGAGCGCCTCGTTTGGTTTACCTGATGTCGGAGATGCAACCGTGGCAGTTGATCCATGGCTCTATCCAGAACGCGCACTAGGATGTCGATACGGTACATCGGTGACGGCCTACTCCGGTCAACGACCATTCTTGAACGCCGCCGTGGTCGGTCAACAAGTAAACGTGTGTCGGTGTCGCCACCATATCAATGACGGTCCGTGTCGTACTCACGTGCTCATGCTACGCACCAAATGAGACACATTGTCTATACCCAATGGCGTACGGCGACGGCGTCCATGTTGGCGGCCAGTGGAAACAACCGGGGTGTCGCCGGTGCAAATGGTCGCTTGGTGCGAATGTAGTACTCGAGCTCGCACCACCACTGTGCATGCATCGGTGCCGTCGATGTCAGTGTCGGTGTCGTTGCAAAGGCGCGCAGTCGCTTTCGCTGGTGCGGCTCGAGTGGCAAACTGGCGTCGATCTCGACCATACTGGTCGGTGACGAGCACACGTCCATCAAGCGCGCCACCGACGCCGAGATGCGGTCGGTCGGCAACAATAGCGCTTGCTCTCGATACGTCGGCGGTAGCGACGGTGATACCGCATCCAGAAGATCGGACCAGTTTACGTCGGCAGCGCCATTGGCTTCCCAGTGCTCCAGCAGCGGTGGCAACCACGAAGTGTCGTAGATGGCAGCCGAGATGGCGCCCCGGGCGGCGCGCCCGTCGGACGTGTACAACGCCGGTGTATGCCGGAACCAGCACCATAACTGCGTGACATCTACCGTGTCTACATGCTCCTGTAGTGCATGTGCCCCGGTGTCCCAGAAGACAACACGTCCTGGCCGCACGGCCGACAACGCGCCTTGAGGCAGTGTGGTATGGCCCATTGACACGGTGCCATACACCGATGTCGTTGCTGGCGCTGGCACAACGTCCGCTGTTGTCACCACGACAGATGACGAAGCGTCGGGGACGCCCGACGCGACAACGCGGGTTAGAATCGCATCCCAAACCGCTGTTTGTAGGTAGCCCTAACCCGCCATGAGCGCGGCAGTAGCCCAATGCACAGAGTGTACCCAAAGGTCCCAGGATCGTTGGGCGGAGGATGGTGGCAGGCAGACAAGGCGCGCCGACTCGGTCGGTGTATGCGCGTACCGAAACCCGGAAGCGACACGAACAACGATCTCGTTAGTCGTTGACGGCGGTGCCATCGACACCACAGGCCGGTCTTCTACCGTTGAAAGCCCAATGCCCAACTGTAGCTTGAAACGATCGGTGACCAATGTCGGTCGCACGTTACGAAGCACGATCGTCGCATCGCCGGCCATCGTGGCGTGCGCTACGTCCACGGTCTACGCCAAAAACCTCGTCAAAAACACATTGCACATGCAGTCGATTACGGTACGAAGGGGTCGGCGGGGGACGCAGTCGTCGGACGTTTGCGTGCCTGACTGAGTGGGCGTCGGACGTCCGTGGCTGTGGTTCGCGGTCGAGGAGCCACTGTCGGTGCCGACGCCGATGTGCGCACCGGTGCCGACGTCTTGACAATCGGCGGCGTCGCTTTGGAAAGGCGACCATTTGGCTTGGAGAGTTTTTGAACTTGGGCGAGGAGCTGCGCATTTTGCTGCTGCACGCGGTCCTTCTGGACTTGGGCAAACTGTGCCTGTTTCTGGTACGACTGCACGAGCTTCTTGGCCGCCGGGTCTTTGATCCGAGCGACCGCGTCGTCGGCCGCCGTCGTGGCAGGCTCGGCGGACGCCACGGAAGTGTCGGCCGCGTGCTCCAGGTACGCAATCATGACGTCAACTTCCAACAGTCGGCCTCGGACATCGGCGACCCATCCGGCCGACGAAGCCCCGTCGACGACATATTCGAGCGCCCCGCGCGCCGACTCGTGGTAGCCCATCGCAGCAAACCATTCGGGACCACCGGGAACGTTCCCGACGGTGCGCATAAAGCTCGGGGACGAGACGGTAATACGACGGAACGACGGGTCGTGGGCGTTTGCGACCATGTTCGTCAGCAGCTCCCGAAGCGCTTTGGCGACGCCGATCCAAGCGGGTAGCGCGTGCGCAGCGTGCTTGAGGAGATGGTGCAAAAAACCGCGCGTCGTGCCGCCGACGTCGCTCACCGACGGGTGCGCCATTCCTACGCCGCAACGGTTTTGTCAACCATGTATCAACTCGATAGATGGATACCCCAAAGATGGCCAAAGAGCACGGCGCGCATCGTTTGCAGTCGGCCCACGGCGGGCGGCGTCGCGGGCTGGCGACCGCCTTTGGTGCACGAGAGGACAAGGTAGTGTATGGTTTTGGATTCGGCGGCGGCCGTCGCTGTTGCATCCTGGACCGATTTTGCGTGGTCGGAAGCGGTTTCGGGGTGCGTGGCCGGTGTCGGCGTCCGTGCGTCGCTGGGGGTTGTGACCGTCACAAGCTCAAAGCCAAGAGTGCGTAGAAGGTCCTTGCACGCATCGCTAAAGCTCCGAAGCGGCGCGGTGGGCGGCAAGACGGTCCGGTGTTGCCGAACGTCGCTTGGAGCTGCTATAACAGCGTCGACAGCGCGCAAAATATCGACAAGAAGACACCGGGCCGACGCCATGCCTAATGTCATGCGCACGACGCCGACGCTGGCCGAGACCGACTCACACACGGAAAGCCCTCGCTCGATACGTCTAATTTCATTTCAGACAACTTGTCCAAGATGGTATCGCACGCATACAAGGGAAAGAGGGTGTACGGATGGTCAATCAGAGGCCCAAACGACGCGACAAACTCATCTTTGGTCACGTGCCCATCGGTGTCCAAGTCGAGGAAGGCAAATAACTGCTCGGGTGTGGCCACGGAACCCTAGTCGACAACACGTTTCGAGATTTTGGGTTACACGACAAGATTTACCACAAATGGCAATGGCGTCATCCAGTGCTGCACGTCCAGTAGCGTCAAATACCCGCGGTGGGAACCATCCAAGCCTTGAAACACCGCGTCGATCATGTCGAGTTGAATGCGCTGCACGTCCGACTTGCCAAAGAGTGTGCGGGTATTGAGCCCGTACGGGAAATGTTCTCGGTGACCCAAGGTGGTGGCGGCTGCTTGCGACATCGATGGGGACGCCGGTGCGAGCAACGGCGGCTTGGCGACCGTCGCACTTCCTTCGTGCAATAAGAGCTCAATGTCTTGCTTGCGTCGCCATAAAAAGCTCTCGACCCGCTCCGACAATGTCGGAAAGGAAAAATGGGCGAGCGGTGTTACGTCCGAGTCCTTGGTTTTGGCCACGTCCTGGCGCAGCTCATAGATGCAACCCTAATCACCAAAACATCGTTCTTATAGCCATCTCTAGATTGCATCATGTGTACCGACGAGGCCTCGATGCAGTCAAAGCCAAGCACTTGCATGAACGCGACGGCGTTCTGGAGACACCCAATTTTGGTCGCAAACACCTTGTTGGTGGCACGAATGCGCCAGTACTTGGCGTCATTCGGGTGCTTGAGGATGTTGAGAAGATATACAAGCGCAAGGTCCAAAGCCGCGCGGACTTCGGGCACTGAGTGGTGAAACTGGCGGAGGCTCGCTTCGACGACATCGCGGACGCTGCTGCCGCCTTCCACTTGGACGAGTTCCTGCTCGATTCCATCCAAAGCCTCTTTTAACAGCGCCAACGTCGAGGCTAAGAGGGCCGATACTCGGACACCTGTCGGTGACCGCGCGCCGCGTAGTTCGTAGTGGGTTTGGTTGACCAACACAAAATGAATGGCCTCGAGAAGCGCCGGTGAATCCCGGAACCGACCTACATGTGTATCGATATTGTGCAAACGACGAGGAAGGATCGAAGCGCGTACCCAGTTTTTGCTCAAACGCCGGCGTGTCACAGCGGATGCGCCAGTAGTCGCGGTTGTTGGGGAACCGGACGACATTGTGGAGCAGTGTCCGGCAGACGCCCAGCACCTGCTTGACATCGGCGTGGCTCTCACGCAGCCGTAGTCGACTCAGCGCATTCGCAATGCTCGGAATCGCATCCAAACTGTCAACAAGAGAATGACCGAGGAGGGCAAAGAGCTCGACAAGGGACACGCTCGTATGGTGTCGACAGAGCAGCAGCGATGACGCGACGACGTCGGCCGGCACCGACAAACTTTGCAAGAGCGTCTCCACGCGGCCAATCGCCAGCTGCTGCCGCTCGTCACAGAGCGCGACAAAGGCATCATGGACGCGATGGATCATGTCCACTTGGGCTGGTAGTCGCCCGACACTCAAGCGACGCACCTACACCAAAGGCATGAGTTTCAAATGACAAAAATGTACAAATGTCGGGAAAATCACAAAAAATAGCGTGAAAAATCCCAAATTTGCACATTTCGCAACTCTGCAAACAAGAACGCACCACTTCGTCCATATGACAGTCGTCGCCGTTCGAGTACATGCAGGCTGCGACAAAGGCCACGGGACGCAGCTCCATGGCCGCGTCGATGCGCTGGGTCTCTGCGACCGCGTCGAGGGACCCGTATTGCTGGTAAAACACGCAGCAGGTTTCGGACAAGTCGAGCAAATGATGCGGCAACAAATGCAGCTGCGCCCAGTGGAGCGCGATCGGTTTCTTGGGCACGAGATGACGGCCGACGCTGCCGACGATCGCGGTCGCGGCGTCCACCGTCACCATAGGGACGCCGGCGGTCACGACCGCTTGTTCTTGAAACGCGTGCGTAAGCCGCTCAAAGATGCGAAAGCCGAGTTTGGTTTGCCAGAGCTGGACTTGGCGCTTTGTTTCGTGCTTACTCGCAAATCGCGTCGCATGAATCGCCTCCAGCTCCATGTGTGTGGCCAAGGCGCCCTTGGCGTCGCAGTAGCTGACGTAGGCAAGCGCAATGACAAAGCCAATAAAGGGGAGCGGCGGAAACCGATTCAAATGCACTGCGACGCGCCCCGGATAGTGTAGTTTCCGAAGACTGGCGATCGCCATCTCGGCTTGGCGGAGACTGAGCACGCCGGCGCTGTGCTTGTCGAGCTGATCAAACCGAGCGCGCACCTTGGTGATGTACGCCGAGCCAAAGAGGCACCGAAGCTCCTTCTCCTATCAAATCATATCGGCATGACCATCATGCTATTGAAGAGACTCGAGGGATCAAGGGTACCGTGACGGGGCCCGTGGCCGTGTCGATGGTCGGGTCGAGCGTCACGGACGCGTCACTGTCGTCGCCGCTGCCAACGTCGTCGGTGGACGTTGTCCGTGGTGTCTTTTCATCCGCGTCCGAGTCGCCACCGTGCTTGTTTTGATCCTGAGTTGTTCTTCTCGGTGTATGTTTGTGATCGGAGGCGGCGTCGTCGCTGCCCGAGCTGTCATTCTCGGACGCCGGTGCGCGCGGTGTGTCGGTCTTGGCTTCGTCTTTGGCCTCGGCCGTCGTCGCGCGACGGCTTTTGGATTTGGATTTCGGAGCTTTTCGAAGTAGTTCGCCTTCCTCGTAGAGCTAAAACTTATAGAGTCAACGACGTCTACCATCAAACGCAAAATGTACCGTGAGAAGCAACTGCTGGAGATAGAAACGTTCGTCCATCGGTGACAACGCGGGGGGCGGCGGTTTGTCTTCGTCCGACGACGACGCGAGCACGCTACGCATTGTCGCTTCCGGGGCGTTGTCGGCGACCACACCGTCTTGGTATCGGATCTATTCGCAACGTGAACCCTCGAAAAAACCATTGAAAAAAGAGGGTACCGTGTAGGTGCCGTCGACTTGCTTGGCGACGATTGTTGCACGCATCCAGAGCTTGGTCTTGCGCTTCCACTGGCTCTCGACCGGTTGACCGCGCTTGTACTTGAACCGGTGACGCGGGCCCACCGGTGGCGGTGCCGGCTCGTCTTCGCCCGACGACGGCGGCGCGGCGGGGGCGACCGTGACGTCTTTTCGAGCCACACGCGTCTCGACCGAGCCGTCGATCAACGTCACATCGACAGACCGATCGGACGCATGCAGCTTGGACACAACGCCTTTGCGACCGTTGCGCAAAAGCACCGACGTGCCCTTGGCAATCGCCGGTGCTTCGTCCTCGGACGACGACGACGATGATGCAACCGGTGCGTCGACGTCTGCCGGATCGACGTTGCGTCGCGTGTCACCGGATGCGAGTGCCACGTCATAGCTGCCGTCGCTGTGAACTTTGGCAATCGTGCCACGCACTGACTTGCCTTTGAGTTGCATCTGCACCGCGTCACCTTTTTGCAGGTGACGCTTCCGGATCCGATCGAGCGGCAGTCGTGCTTCGACACGGCCGTCGTCGAACGTCACGTCCAGTGTTCCGGATGACGCGTGGACCTTGGTGACGCGTCCGGGGGCAAATGTTTTTTTACCTGGCGGCTTGGCCTCGACACGACTGCCGACAGGAAAGGACGTTGGTTTGGGTTTGTCACTGCCGCTGTCACTGCCACTGCTCGGGTGGTCACGCTTGTGCGGGCGCACCTTGGCCGCGTCGACCCGCTTGGCCTTGTCGCCGTCGGCGAGCGAGACGTCGCAGCTCCCATCGCTGTACATCTTTTTGATGCGACCGCGGACATACTTGCCATGAACGCAGACGTCGATGTCGGCGCCGACGGCAAACGACGCCCGGACGCGAATGAGACTCCGGTCGACCTTTTTCTCGATCTCGCCGTCGTCGTAATCAACGTCGTAGCTGCCGTTTAGGTGTACCTTTGTGATCGTGCCGGGGTAATACGTCTTGCCCTTGTACTTGGCCTCAACTTTGGTGCCGACGTCGAGGCGCTTGGCATCGTCGTCGCCATCGTCGTCACTGGCGTCGGTCACAATACGAATCATGTCCGACTCGACGCGCTTCTCATGTTCGCCGTCGTCGTAGTCGATGTCGTAGCTGCCGTCGGCGTGGACTTTGGTGATCTTGCCAGGATAAAACTTGGCTTTGCCCTTGTACTTGGCCTCGACCTTGGTGCCGACCTTGAGCGCTTTGCTTGTTTTCTTGGCTTGAAGGACGCGAATCAAGTCCTTCTCGACGCGCTTCTCCTTTTCGCCGTCGTCGTAGTCGATGTCGTAGCTGCCGTCAGCGTGACACCGGGTGATCTTGCCGGGGTAGAACGTCTTGCCCTTGTACTTGGCTTCCACCTTCGTGCCCACCGCAAGCGAGGACTCCTTCTCGTTGTCGCTACTGGTCGCCGAGACGAGACGCATGAGATCCTTCTCGACCCGTCGTTCGGCTTCGCCGTCGTCGTAGTCGATGTCAAATGTCTCGTCACTGTGACAGCGCGTGATTGTGCCCGGGTAGTACTTGGATTTACCCTTGTACCGGGCCTCGACGTTGGCGCCGACACGGAAGGTGGCTTTCTTGGGACTCTCGGGCTTGTCGCCGCCCTTGACGCGAACAAGTTCGGGTGACACCTTCTTCTCAATCTCGCCGTCGTCGTAGTCGATGTCGTAGCTGCCGTCGATATGGACTCTCATGATCTTGCCCGGGTAGAACGTCTTGCCCTTGTACTTGGCTTCGACTTTGGTGCCGACGGCCAA